AAACTTCCACCAGGTTTCACGACAACGGGCTCAAATCGTGTATGTTGACTACAAAAGTCCTTATATAGTCTTCGGTGGGCATCTCGAAATTGGTTTTCAAAATTCTCTAATGCATTGAGGGAGTATGGTTTTGATCTATGATTAGTAGATTACTCATTATTCACGTATTCTCACGGCGATACTTTTCTAACCGTGTTAGTATATGTTGATGATCTTATCTTGGCAGGCAATAATTCAAAACAGTGCGCAGCGCTCAAACTATACCTTGATGAGTGCTTTCATATCAAAAACCTTTCTTGGGAATTGAAGTAACACGAACGACTTCAGGGTTATTTCTGTGTCAGAGAAAGTATGTTCTTGACATCCTACCGGAATGCAGCATGCTAGCAGCTAAACCAGCAACTTCTCCAATGGAGCAACAACACCGGTTAGCTACATCAAGTGGACATGCCATGACAGACCCAAGTCACTATTGTTGATTAGTGGGACGTCTACTTTATCTCGCTATCACTCGGCTTGAATTATGTTATTCTGTCCACATACTTTCCTAGTTCATGCAAGAACCGAAGGAGCAGTACTGGGAAGCAAAGATACGAGTTCTTCGATATCTCAAGAAAAATCCAGGACAAGAGATTCTATTATCCGTCCCAACTTCACTTCACTTGACTGCCTTTTGTGACTCCGATTGGGCAAGTTCCCCAATCACTCGGCGATCAGTTATGGGTTACTTTGTCCTTCTTTGTGGTTGTCCCATGTCTTGGAGAACCAAGAAGCAGACCACAGTTTCTCGGTCCTCTGCTGAAGCTGAATATCGCGCTATGGCAATTGCCACTAGTGAACTGATTTGGTTGCGCATTTTACTTGCCTCTCTCAGGGTATCGCACGACAAAATGATGGGTCTTTATTGTGACAACCAAGCTGCCTTACATATCGCGGCAAACCCGGTATTTCACGAACAAACAAAGCACATCGAGATTGACTGTCACTTTATTCGTAAACATGTACAGTCGGGCACCATTATAACTGAGCATGTACCCACCAAACTTCAACCGGCAAATATATTACCAAGGCATTGGGCCAAGATCGATTTGCATTTCTCGTTAGCAAGTTGGGCATTCGTGACCTCCATGCGCCAACTTGAGGGGGAGTATTACGGAAGATTTGCTGAAGATTTACATTCTATTTTTTAATATTTAGTATATCTCTTATTATTAGTTAGGAGGGATAATAACACAAACAGTTCCTGAATTTTGGCTCAATGTGCAATTTAGTTCTTGAACTTTTAATTTGTTCAAAGTGGTCCTTGAACTTTGGCCTAATGTTCAAAGTGGTCCACAAACTTTTAATTTGTTCAATATGGTCCTTGAACTTTTGGTACATGTTCAATTTAGTCCCTGAACTATATGAAAATGTACAATATAGTCTCTGAACTTGAATTAATGGAAGGATTACATTGAACATTTTTATAAAATTCAAGGACTATATTAAACATGTACCAAAAGTTAAGGGACTACATTGAATAAATTGAAAGTTCAGGGACCATATTGAATATTGGGTTGAAGTTCAAGGACTACATTGAATAAATTAAAAGTTTATGGACAAAATTATACATTGAATCAAAATTTAGGGATTGTTTGTGTCATTTTCCCTAGTTAGGATTTACTTTTGCTTTTAGTTAGCATAATATTTAATATATCTTTTATAATTAGTCAGAGATATTTGGTAGATTTTTTTTTCTCTTTTCTGTTAAGCAATATGTTGTATAAATATTTATATTGTCCCTTGAGCAATACAAGAAAATTACAAGTTCTCCCATAGAACAAAGCACGATAGAGAGAAGAAGAGAAAAGAGGGGAAGGATCAAGTTCCAACAAGTTGAGAGAATGCTGGTCAAGCCCTGAACGTATGGGCTATTATTTCTTTTTCCAATCAAAGTTTTCTTTTACAAGTTTCAACGTCTCATAGATCAAGGAACGGGGAGAATTACAAAAAAAAAAAGGTCCTAAACTTATTATAATCATGTCAATTTAGTCATAAATCTTTTTTTTATCAATTGATTCCTAAATTTTTTCACGTTTTGTTAATTGAGTCATCCAGCCAATTTTGACCGGAAATCGCTAACGTGGACGCCGGCCGTTCTACATAGCACGATCGATACTTTTTTAATAGTTTTTGAATTTATTTATTTATTTTTTCTTTTCTTTCTTTGCTTTTTTTTTTCCCAACTCTCAACTATGGGCCAGCGACCCAACCCTTGCTGGCTCTAGGCTAGGGTGTCGTGGCCCTCGTCGGCACTGGTTGATAGTCGCGGCGCCCTCGCCAGCCAGATCCGAGGCGAGGGGCCGTGCGCCCTTGATTTGGCCGGCGAGGGCGCCGCAACCCTCACCCAGTGTCGGTGAGGGTGTCCCGGCCCTCGCCGGCCCATAGTTGGGAGTTGGAAAAAAAAAAAGAAAGGAAAGAAAAGAAAAGAAAAAATAAAAAGACAATTCAAAAAGCATTGCATTTTCCGCGAAACGAAGTTGAATACCAGTCAAGCCCTCAAATTATCGGCTTTTTTTTTTCTTCCAATCAAGATTTTGTTTTACAAATTTTAGCATATAAGAGAGCAGAGAATAAGCTAAAAATATTATGTAAAGTATTGTATAGGTATTTGGATTGGTACTACTTGTAGTTTATTTTCTTTTGTTTTCATTCACTACTCTTCTTTCTATTTCTTTTAGTTAGGCAAGATAGACTGTCGAAATGGTAATTGAAATTCAATGACCCGTATATAAATTTGACTGAAGTTTGGCGACCATAAATGAAATTTGGATGTTAATACGTAAATTTTAATTTTCAAAATTTGGAAGTCCCTCCCTCCCTCATTTCTTTTAAATACGAGAGGGGTGCGGCGATTTCACCGAATTTAGTATGTTTTCTTGGTTTAACTTGGTATCAAAGAGTCGAGTTGCTACCCACAGGTGGCCGTGTTAGTTGCGCTCGTTCCTTTCACGAGAGGTCCTGGTTCAAAACTCGCCATCGGTGATTTAAGTGAGGGTCGTGGCGGTGGGATCTGCGCTCGCCCCTCGAGAACTAATCGAGCATCACCGCGTTTGAGCCCTTCGCCGCGCGCGGACACCTCGATTATCAAAAAAAAAAAAAAAAAGAGCCGAGTTGCTATTATATTCGTATTTTCAGTTTTTAAAGATTCTAGAATATATCAGGATTTCAATTAAATCATAAAATTTAAGGTCACCTCCATAGGGTTTGCACTCAGCAGCATAGATTGCCAATTTTTTTCCCCATACAAATCAGCTCTACTAAATTTCAAAAACCCCAACGTCTCGGTCGTAACCTGATCATGATCCCGGCGGCCCCGATGGACTCGACCACGGCCAGGCCCCAAGGGCATGATGCAAACAAGCGGGCTTGAGTCGCCCATCTTTCGGCCCGGCCCATACCGGCCCAAAAACGTGCGTGCGTTTTTCTTTTCCACCGGGCCGTGGGAGGACCAACACCAAGCACCGGGCCAACAAAAACGAGGCCCAAATATCGTGACCCGACCCGGCCCGGCCCACTTTCGGTTTTCCTTGCGGCCAGGGAAAGTTCGATCGGGTAAAACACAAGCGAAACGGAAACTTCGGACCGAAAGGGATCGAGAAAGAGAGGGGGTGGGTGGGGCCCGCCGGGATTTGTAACTTTGGGGAAGGCGTGACCGTCAACACGTCGCCCTCTGGAATCCAACATGCAAGCTAAGTCACAGCTGTCCCACAGTTGCCCCGCACATGCATCAACATTCTCTTCGCAAAATATCTAAAATTTAAAATTTTACTACACAAGAAATGCTTTGTACATATTATATATATATATATATATATATTGATAAATGATATTCTTTCCTAAAATAATTGTTATGATATGAGCCAAACAAGGGGATTGCCACTATTGATGGAAATTTCTTGTTCTCTTTATTACGATATATTCCGAGAGTAAATATACAAATGGCCTCTGGAGTTTGGTCAAATGTGTAATGTCGTTTCTGAACTTTTAATTTGTTCGACGTGATCCACCTTAACTCTATGTGTAATGTCATCCCTGAATTTTTGGTAAATGTTCAATCTAGTCCCTGAACCATGTGAACATGTTGTTCGATGTTGTCTTTCTGTTAATTCAAGTTTAAAAATAACATTGATACATTTGCATACAATCCATGGACTATATTGAACATATACCAAAAGTTTATAAATCACACTGTAGGGACGAATTTGATAGACTCGTACCTACAAAAAAATGTACATAATCTAGGAATAGACCAGGAGCATGTTTAATATAGCTTTCTTGTGGAAACTACAGCTGTGAACAACTTTAAAATATGTATTGTCAAGCATGTTAGTCCATGGCATTTCACAGAGATAAGAAATATGAGGAAGAGAGAAATATATAATATCTGTATATAGAAGTATTCAACAATGCAGAGTCCAATAGGCTGCTTCATCAAATGATTATCTTAATATATCAATGAATGAATATGCACAATTAAAGGGAGATAAACACGCAATCTTGACAAATTCATAGAATCCGAAAAATATCCCAAAAGAAATATCTCCAACACATAGTGTAGCCCCATAGTGATATGGCAAAATCACAAGCACAATTTTGCTGAAATAGACACTACTCTCTCCCGTATTAAAATAGAAAAAATGCGTCTTGAAATGCTTAAAGAACTCGAATTAAATTTTTTTTTTCTTTTTGTGGGTAGTAGGGTTTTGATTTGAAAATATTTTTGGTTATTTATTTATTTATTTATTTTTGCTCGTGGTCCGAACTCTGGACCAATGGGAAAATTTAAAAAAAAAAAAGAAAGATAAAAAGTAAGACCGACAGGAAAAAGACCCCGAAACTCTCACGTCCTTCTCACGTTTGCTGCGACAGCGTCTGTTCATATATTCCTAAGACCTACAAACTCCTTCCCCTCACTTTCTCTCTCCAGCTCTGCACTCGCTTTTGTTTCCGCGTCTCTCTCTACAACGCCGGCGACAATGGCCACCGGGAGCCTCCGCTCTCCGGCCCCCCTCCTCCCCCTCCTGCTCCTCCTGCTCCTCCTCCTCCTCGCCGCCGCCGCCCCCGCCCCCGCCTCCGCCGACGACTCCGCCGTCATGTCGGCGATCCTCGCCGCCCTCAAGCCGCCGGGCTGGTCCTCCGGCCAGGCCTACTGCAGCTGGAATGGCGTCAACTGCGACTCCTCCTCCCGCGTCACCGGCATCAGCCTCTCTTCCGCCTCCCTCTCCGGCACCCTCCCCTCAGATCTCTCCTCCCTCTCCCAGCTCCAGACCCTGTACCTCCAGAAGAACTCCCTCTCCGGCGCCGTCCCTTCCTTCTCCGGCCTCGCCTCCCTCCGGTTCCTCTACCTCGACAACAACAGCTTCACCTCCGTCCCCTCCGGCGCCTTCCAGGGCCTCACCAGCCTCCAGACCCTCAGCCTCAGCGACAACCTCGACCTCGACCCCTGGCCGATCCCGCCGGAGCTCAGCGCCTCCACGTCCCTCGTCACCCTCTACGCCGACAACGCCAACATCGCCGGCCCGATCCCGGACTTCCTCGGCTCCCTCCCTAGCCTGGTGTATCTGAGGGTCTCCTATAACAACCTCACCGGGCCCCTCCCGTCCTCCTTCAACGGGTCGGCGATCCAGTACCTCTGGCTCAACAACCAGGCGACGGGGCTGTCCGGCGGCATCAACGTGCTGGCCGGGATGAGCCAGCTGTGCCAGGTCTGGCTCCAGAACAACCAGTTCACAGGTCCGATCCCCGATCTCTCGAAATGCGGTAATTTGTTCGATCTCCAGCTTAGGGACAACCAGTTCACTGGGGTTGTGCCCGCCTCGCTGTTGGCCCTCCCCAGCTTGCAAAATGTGTCCTTGGATAATAATAAGTTGCAGGGTCCTGTCCCTAGTAGTAGTAGAATCAACATTACTTCTGATGGTACCAATAGCTTTTGCAACACTGCGCCGGGCCCTTGTGATCCACAGGTTGCTACATTGCTTGAGATCGCCGGTGCGTTGGGGTATCCGATCACGCTTGCGGATTCTTGGGCAGGGAATGATGCTTGCCAGAGCTGGAGTTCCATTTCTTGCCTTGGGAAGAATGTGACCACTGTTACTTTCTCGAAGCGGGGGTTTAGTGGGACCATCTCTCCCGCGTTTGCGAATCTCACCTCCCTCCGCACGTTGCTGTTGAATGATAATAATCTGACCGGCTCTATTCCGAATAGCTTGACTACACTGACTCAGCTTCAGGTTCTTGATGTGTCGAACAATAATCTCAGTGGGTTGATACCGGTTTTCCCAGCCTCAGTGAAATTGACTACTACTGGTAATCCGTTAATTGGTAAATCGAGCTCTGGTGGCGGAAGCCCCGATTCTTCAGGAACGAATTCGACTACTGGCGGCTCACCTGGAACGTCAAATGGTTCTTCCCTTTCAGGCGGTGTGATTGCTGCTGTTGTCATAGGCGTCCTTATTTTCATTGGGGTGGTGTTGTTTGTCTTGTACAAATTCTGTTACATCAACAGACGACACGGTAAATTTAATAGGGTGGAGAATCCTGAAATCGGGATGGAAGCAGCTAAGACTGGAGCTGTGAATGGTGTGAATGGGCATGGTGGGCTTCCAAGTGAATTGCATAGCCAAAGCAGTGGGGACAATAGTGATTTTCCTGTTTTTGAAGGAGGAAATGTTGCGATTTCAATTCAAGTCCTTAGACAAGTGACTCAGAATTTTAGTGAAGAGAACATATTAGGAAGAGGTGGTTTTGGTGTTGTTTACAAAGGGGAGTTGCACGACGGCACCAAAATTGCTGTTAAAAGAATGGAATCCGTGGCAATGGGCAACAAGGGAATGAATGAATTCCAAGCTGAGATTGCGGTACTTACAAAAGTGAGGCATAGGCACTTAGTCGCGCTTTTAGGGTATTGTATCAATGGGGACGAGAGGCTTTTAGTGTATGAATATATGCCACAAGGGACTCTCACTCAACATTTGTTCGAGTGGCAAGAGAAGGGGTGCGCACCTCTGACTTGGAAGCAAAGGGTGACAATTGCTTTGGATGTTGCTAGAGGAGTGGAATACCTGCACAGTTTAGCCCAACAGAGTTTTATCCATAGGGATTTGAAGCCATCGAACATACTCCTGGGAGATGACATGAGAGCCAAAGTTGCTGACTTTGGTTTGGTTAAAAATGCTCCCGATGGGAAGTATTCCGTGGAGACACGTTTGGCTGGAACTTTTGGGTATCTAGCTCCCGAGTATGCAGGTAAATTAATCTCTGTTGTTTCTTTTTGTTTTCAAAATTCTTGTTTCTTTCGTTGAGATTACATAAGTGTGATATCTTTCAGTAATAATTATGGATAGTAGTCCTGCGGACGAACTAGTGGACTTTATATCTCTGTTTTCACCTCGCTGTAGTTGGATGTTCCGTTCAGATTGAGCTTTAAAATGGTAAGAATTTGAACAGCTAGCATCAATTAACTCAAATGTCATAAGAGCATGATTGCTGTTTGATTATCTAACTCATCAGTTAAATTGGTCTGATCTACTCTAGGGTGATAGTGAAATCATCTGACTACAAATTGTTGATTAGAAACTAAGGGCGACTTCTCTATGTTGCCCATTCTTTGTGTTGCCTGTATCTTCTTAACTTGAAATTTGAACATAGGCTCTTCTTTTCCTTATTGGTGAAATTGCATCAAATTTTGTATATGAATTGGGTCTTATTCTGTCCATGCAGCCACTGGAAGGGTAACTACAAAGGTTGACGTTTATGCATTTGGTGTTGTCTTGATGGAGATCATTACCGGTAGAAAAGCATTAGACGACACCATGCCGGATGAGAGGGCTCACTTGGTCACTTGGTTCCGTAGAGTATTGATTAACAAGGAAAACATCCCGAAAGCTATCGACCAGACTCTCAACCCCAATGAAGAAACCTTAGAGAGTATAATCAAAGTTGCTGAGCTGGCAGGTCATTGCACTGCTCGGGAACCATTCCAAAGACCGGACATGGGCCACGCTGTCAATATCTTGGGTCCCCTCGTGGAGCAATGGAAACCAACTAACCATGAAGAAGAAGAAAGCTCCGGTATCAACCTCCACATGAGCCTTCCTCAAGCCCTGCAAAGATGGCAAGCTGACGAAGGCACTTCCTCCATGTTCAACACCATGTCCTTCTCCAATACGCAGTCTAGCATTCCCCCGAAACCTTTGACGTTTCCAGACTCGTTTAGCTCAACTGATTGCCGGTGAGGAAAGTAATTGGTCTGGTTGGCCATGTAAAGTATCTGTTGAAATGGGTTGCCAGCGGAAAGAGAAATTAAGATGCTCTTGTGAAAAAAGTTGGTTTAAGGCTGTCAAAAATAGACAATGCAGCTGGCTGTATGAGCAAGTGGTCATGATTGGTACCGTGCGATTTTGCTTAGTGTATGTTTTCCTTCCAATCCTGAGTCGGTACGAGTTCACCGTTTCTTTTTCCCCCCTTTTGTATATGTATGATCTTTTCGTTTTTTTTTGCATTCTTGGATTTTTTGGGGAAATGATTGATTTGTGGATTCTTTTCAGAGAAAGCAATATTAAATTTGCCTGGAATTATGTTCCTACGCTCGGTATTTCTTGCTCTTGTCGCAAATCATGAATAATTGGTGCGCCAGTTCTTCCCTGGTGCATCATCTCGCGTTGGTATCATTCCTTAGAGCGTGTAATAGAGCATTCTGTTCATTGGATTCTGCAACTTGCAAGGAAGATGTGTTGGCTGTTTTGGACTTTCAGAGGCTGGAAATCTTTAGATAAAGGGTTACTTACATAGATTGAGGATGAGCTGGAAGAGAGAGAGAGAGAGAGAGAGAGAGAGAGAGAGAGAGAGAGAGAGAGAGGCTGTTTTGGACTTTCAGAGGCTGGAAATCTTTAGATAAAGGGTTACGTAGATTGAGGATGAGCTGGAAGAAAGAGAGAGAGTATCTTTCCTAACATGGTTTTTAAATTTGGGATTTGGTGGGGTTAAGGATACAAGTTATCTCGACACATGATAGCCGGAAAGAGCTCGTGTAGAGATTGATGTGTTTGGCGTGCATCAAAGGTGGGCCTTTATTTGACTTTGCAGGGTTCACGAGTTGTGGGAACCTTCTAAGTATCTCATTTTCTGTTCATTGTTTGGCGAGGAAGTAACGGTTTAGATGATGTAAAGGCTTGCCTTGAATCGTGGAAGCCGCGGACTTTGTCGAGGAGAGAAAAGCTGGTTGAATATAACACTTAAAAACAGTCATGTTAAAGAGTACTTTTAGATATGTGATCTTACCTGTCCCTCTTTCTTTGACATGGTGCCTCTCAAAGTTGTAATTGAACTCATCTATGCACTTGTGCTTTTATATAGAAGGATGTCTGAATTGACTGCAAGTTTCTACTAAATTCATTATAGTGTGGTTTTATGTTGCTCCCTTTACATCTGTTTCCTTGAGTAATAGATGTGGTTTTGAATGAAAGAATGTGGAACCTTAACCTTCCCATCTAAATCCCATTGCCTTTTTCAGCTTTATAGATACGAGTGGATCAATGGATGAGCAGCAAAAAACAAGACTATAGCTCTTGACAATCTGGAAATATGTCCCATTTTAAGGATTATTTAGAATCTCAAATCATGACTTCACCCAAATCTTTAATTTTTTTTTTATATTTGTCAAAGCCAATTAGTTTCTTTCTTGATGCTGCTTCATTTCCCCTTTTTTAAGGAGTCGCAGCCAAATGGAGCCTGTTTGCAGTAGTTTCTAGAAGCAAAATCTTATCTATAATTTCCAGCCAAAATTAGAAAGAAGAAAAAAAAGATCATTCATATTGGCATAAATTATCTACACAACTTGCATGGCTTCTAATGGCATCAATCATCGACAGCAATATGCAAACGTCATTGAAGATTAGTTCTGTTCTGAACTAAACAAGAGGGCAAACTCTATATGTTTAAGACCAAGAAAGATAAACAAGAAAAGCCTCGAAGCGTACGAATGAAAGATCTTGAGGCACCATCACGAAGCAACTAGCGGCAAAGGCTCGTTCTCGACGATGATGACAACGGTTTCACGACAAATATATGACCTTCGTGCGCTGGAAAAAGATCCAGTTGGTATATCGAGCTGTCCCAGTGGCCCTCCATATCGCAGTGGTTCGATCCCCTCGACACGCATAAGACAAACTGGGAAACTGTTTCCATATTTTGTCTCCAAACGAGGCAAAAGGTTCCGTGCTATTTCTTTAAGCCATCTTCTATCTCTCTCTCTTTGCCACAAAATAGAGAAGTGAAGAGAAAAACAAAAATCAAAAGGTTGATATGTTTCGCTAAAAAATGAACTTTATTTGAAAAGAGAAATTGTTTTCAACGAAAATATTTTGATTTTTCCCATGTTTGATGGTCCTTAGCAAATAGGAGGGAAGTCATTCTTTTTTTATATTTGTCATCTGAAATCTACGAAAAATAGTTTTTCGAAAAAAGACTTGAGTAAAGTCTCTAGAACTCGGTGTGGGAATCAAGTCCAGGGTTCGAGACATCGTGATCTCGAGCTATGGACGCAAGGACCCAGAATCGGGCTGCTGGTGTTCCCAATTTCCGTGCCGACATTTAGGTTCCATGGGTTGGGCACGCCACTCTGGGGCTAAGGTCCCGCGGTGGTGCCGGGGTCTTAGGTTCGGGTGTTGGGGACCCAACTGTCGGTATCTTGGGTTACATGTCCGCCATGTTAGCGCTTCTTTGAAATATTGGATCGATTTGGATCAAAATGAACAAATACAACAAATAATTCGAAGCTAAGTGCATGGGACTATTTCGATTAAAATGTGGCGATATAATCGTGAAGTTGACTAAAATTTAGTGGCCACCAATGGAACTTGCTTAACGTTGAAGTTTTACTTTTGCGACGCCTAGTGTACACTCGATTTCTTCGGTTAGATCTATTTGACAAACAAAGTAAGAAATGCTCATCTTGAGGCCACACTTGAGGAAATTCACATTGGTCACTCGCATTCCCCAGAAACCTCCCTTTCATTATTTAAACCAAAAGAGGCTCCTCTTCCAACACAATAGTAAACTTTTGACATGTCCCACATGCACTTGAATGATTAAACTAATGTGACTACCTTAATTTGTTAAATACAGTTCGAATTATTGATAAATATTCAATATACTTTTTTTGTTTGCTCATACAATAAATCAAACATTAATTGATGACGTGAATTATTATATGCTGAATTGTATATTTAAAAATGATGAGTCAACATGTCTATCTTTTTATCCATTTACTTTAGAGAAGGAAAAAAAATTAGGGCATTAACATGTCTATCATTATTTGTATATAATCTACGTGTAACTTTTTTTATTTTGTTGTCTACCTTTGAAATTTAACGGATTGAAAGTCACATAAACAAATTTCGTTAACTTGAATCAATTGAAGGACGATATTCAATAGTTTCATATGGTGTATGGATTAGATTGGACATTTACAAATAGTTTAAAGATGACATTACACACTGGATCAAAGTTCATTGGCCATTCATGTCATTTTTCCTATGAAATATAAATGTTAAAGAGTCTTCTTAGCTTTGTAATGTTATAATATATCCAATGTAAATTTATTCAAAAAAGGAGCGAAAAAGGACACTAAAAGTACCAAAACTTTTGTACGGTGCTCACGTGAGTGTCATAACCTTTTTTTGATGACTGAGTGCCATAACTTTTGTATCGCGCACCATTAAATTTTTTTTTCAATCAGTTGAGTGCCATATAACTTTTTCAATCGATCGCTTAAGTGTCATAACTTTTTAAATCGTTCACCACAGTGCCATGTGACGTCGAATTTTTAATAGTTGGGTGAACATTTTTTAAAAATTATGGTACTCAGGTGATCAATTGAGAGCTATTACACTCAAGTGTACAATATTTTAGAAGTCATGGCAATCAAGTAATAGAAAATAAAAATTTACGACCTTCAAGTGAGCATCATACACTCGCGATAAAGGAATTGGGTGCGGTGGGGACGTCTAGTTTCAGGTATTTAAAGAGGTAGAGTAAAAGTTCGAGAGAGACGAGAGTTAGAGCGGGAGAGACAAAAAAAAAAGTGAACGTCGTACGAAAATTATGACATTTATGGTGTCATTATCTCCAAAAAAAAAAAAAAGCTATTGATACAAAAAAGTAATTTGTTGTTGGACTATGCATTAAAGAAAAACCATCATAGTTAAGATTTGCAGCATAGTTTGTGGTAGGTTGGAAAACTAAATGGTCATTTAATACGACTAGAAAGTCCCAATGAAGACCCCCCCTCTCTCCCTCCCTGTTATTATCATTTATTATTTGTTTTGGTCAAAGAATTTTCTAATGATTTTTTGCGCACCATTTGCCTGTTTCAAAATTTCAACATGCCACCAGAAAAAGCCTCTGCTCTCTTGAATGCATGATTATCAAGAATTAGGTCACCTCCCCCAACATACACCATTACGTACCACAATCAAGGGCGCAATTGCAGGAGCCAATTGTGCTGCAATGGATTAGCCGCCCCCGCCCTCCCCATCATCATAATATGATAAGGTTCTTCTCCCTTTCATCACATGTCAATAGGAAACACTCGATGACGAATGATGTTCATGGAAAAATCATGACACTTCACCGTTTGTTTGTGTTCTGTCCGGTGATGCTTCACGAAGGAGAACCGAGTCAGTTTTGCGGGGACAAAATTGAAACATCGCGCGGTCGACCATTAGCGAGTAATCTAGTGTGGGATTGGACCTGATCAGCGAGCGGGCAGACTGGACAGGCCACCCGTAAAATGGGTGATGGGCGCAGAGGGCTGCGCGGAATTAGGGCAACATTCGTAGGCCTGACCAACGAGCGGACCGGGCCTAGGTCCATAGAAATTCTAGAATATTGTGTTTTGATCTACGGTTCTGCACTATAACAAAATATACAACAAATCAAAGCCCACTTTGACTCTACTGGTCCCCTCACCCTGACTTAAACAAAATACACGTTTGAACATTCATTTGCGTGTACCGCGTTTCATGTACATCAAACACGTGGCGATTTTGGTGCCGAGTAACCCTCGGTCTTCGTCCATTCTTTTGACGAGTTTTGATTTTCATTCTCATCACTTGGATCGATGTAGACATGTACTTTCGTGTATATTGCGTTCTTGTAATATGCACCTTATCTATGTTTCTCCCGCAAATATCTTGTACAGGTTACACCAAACGAACGTATGCAACCAGGCGGCGGTGGCGACGTTAGAAAAGTGAAGGATTTTGAAAGAAACTAAAAGAAAAAACTCCTCCTAGGGTTCACGCAAAGCCTTCGCCCTCCCAATTACAAATCGTTCATGCAAAGCCGCCACCGCCGCCGCCTGGTTGCACGCCACCAACGCCCCACCGGTGCTTGCTCTGGCAATACTTCCTCCTTCGGCCAATAGTTTCGTTTCATTTAGTTTTGTTCATGAACGTGGGTTGGAGAAGAGAGCATCAATTTTGGGATTTTTAATTTTAGAGTTTTGGGCTATTTTTTAATTTAATTTTTCTTTTGAAAATGCCCTTGTTGTGATGACTGGAAATATCACATGCTCGCCGGCCAGTGAACATTTGACCGGTCGGCGAGCTTAGACCCTTATTTGAAATAAGGTTGGACACTTGAGACATTTATTCGAAATAAAGTCAATTCTTGGCTCTCTTTTGAGAAAATGAGGGAAAATTCCAAAAAATGGCATGAAGTGGAGTTTTTTTCTCAAATAAGGGCTAGAAGTGGACATTGTCTCAAATAAAGATATGAAGTGGCCAAATCATCTCAAATAAGGGTCTGAAGTGGCCAAATCATCTCAAATAAATACCTTTGACCAGTCAGTGACTATTCCGTTGTTGGAGAATGGGTATTTTAGTCAAAAAAATTATAAGTATATATATATTTTTACTTTCATTTCCCTTTCTTTTCTTTTTTCCTTTTCATTTTTTCTTCTTCCCTCCCCAGTTGTCACTGCGCTTGGCCATCAACCTTCGCCGGTCTCAGGCAAGGGTCGCCCTTGCCAGCGTCGGGTGAGGGCAACCCTCGCCTGGGCTGGGCGGGCGAGAGCGACCCTTGCCAGATCCGGCGAGGGCGGCCTTTGCCTGAGGCCGGCGATCGCGATGGCCGACGGAAGGAAGAGAGGGAAAAAAAAAAGAGAAGGAAAAGGAAAAGAAAAAAAAGAAAAAGGAAAAAAAAAAGTAAAATACGAAAATACCCTTTGGCTGGTGAGGTCAGATCTTTATTTGAGATTGATATGGTCACTTCAGGCCCTTGTTTGAGACAAGATTCACTGTAGACCCTTATTTGAGAAAATGAGGGCACTTCAAGCTCTTATTTGAGGTCAACTTCAGATCTTTATTTGAGAAAATGAAGGCACTTCGGACCCTTTTTTGAAATTTTCCCAGAAAATGATGGCATATCAAACCCTTATTTAGAATTTTCCCAAATATAAATAGTAACAAAATAAAAAAACTTTTGCTTGACTGTAGTTTTTTGGGAAAAAGCCACAAAAAATCCCCAAACTCTGCCAATCGTAATACATTTACCCTAATTTTTTATATGACATTTGTGACACATATACCAAAAACTTTTTTTATGATACCAAAAACTCTAAACTTGTATTTGTATGATATATTTACCCCAAACTTGTATCTGTGTGACATATCTAACCTCCGTCAAAATTCCGTTAATGAATTCTGTAAAATCTTATGTAGCTGCCTACATGGACAACAAAAAGCAAACGATGCTAACGTGGCACTCTTGTGGCAAAAATATGTTAACTCATTGTATGTTTTTCTTTTCTCGCTTTCGTTTTCTTTTTTTACTTCCTCCTTCGTTTTCTTCGTTGGTTTGGCGACAATGAGAATGGTGGCAATGCTAACAGTTAGGACGGTGGTGGTGGTGAAGATGAAGGAGGAAAGAAAAAGGAAAAAAATCTTGACAAATGATAAATGTGTGGCGTGGGTCTAAGTTTCAGATTTTTTGTGCCATAAAAAATAGAGATAATTGCACTAGAAGTCATAAAATTTGTGACAAAAGTACAATTGAATCTAAGTTTTAGTATTTTTTTTCTTACAAAAAGTATAATCAAGTCATAAAACTTGTTAATTGGTACAATCGAGTCTTTCATTTTATTTCGTCCAACTTGGGTAACGGAAAATGCTAATGTGGCTTTTTTTGATATTTTCTTTCTCTTACGTGACGATGACATAACTAAAACATGAAATTTAAAGTTAAAACAATGTCGTTTTGACCAAAATTTGATTTTTAATAAATACTTTATTTAGATTAAATGAAAAAATAAACTAAATTTAAAAAAAATGGAAGAAGGAAAACCAGCAAGGGCCCTTGGCCCCATCGCCGCTGCCCCCACCGTCGCCGGAAAGGGCTAGCCAGCGGTCCACAAGGGTCGCCGGGCTCCAGCCAATGGCCAACAACCCGCACCCGAGGTCACGACCCTCCCCTAGATCGGGCTAGGGTCACTAGCCCTTACTCAGATCTAGTGGAGGGTCACCAGTCGCGACCCTTGGTTAGATCTGGGCGAGAGCAGACGACCCTCGCCCAATCTGGGGGAGGACCTGCGGTCGACAAAGGTCGTTGGCCTAGCCATTACCCAATGATCCTCGCTGATCGTAGGTTCTCCCCCAGATCGAGCGAGGGTGACCCTTGCCCAGATCTAGCCAAGGGTTGCCACTGGCGGCGACCTTCGCTAACTGTTGGCGGGCCATCCCCAACCATTGCCGGCCTTTCTAGCAATGGTGGGGTGGCAGCAGGGAGGGCCTATAGGGCCCTCATCGTTTTCCCTTCTTCTTTTTCCTCTTTTTATTTTTATTTTTATTTAGCTTATTTTTTCATTTTATTAAATAAAATACTTATTGAAAAGTATATTTTGACCAAAACAACGTGATTTTAGCCATGTCAGCGATACATAGGAGTGAGAACATAATAAAACAGGTCAACCACGTGCGGCTGATTCTTAGTTTACACGAAAGCAATGTTAGGAGCCCAACTTCAATGTTTTCTACGGTTCACATTCTTGGACATGTCCCAACGTCTCATTTTATTTTTCCCTTTCCTTCTTAGCTACCTCTCTTTCTTCCCAATTTGCAAGACATGAACTGATTTACTATGACTAAATCAGCTCTATCTTTGGTCTTTCTCTTTATGAATAAAAAGAATCTTTCTTTTCCGAGGAAATCACCAAGAAAATGACCATGCTGATGGAGTGTCCCTATAAGTAGAGGATTCGAGAGAAAAACTAGGCACGCTCATGCATCATTCACTGTTACATTTTGTTTCATGTTAATCCAAGTTGGAACCGACCTCCCAAAATGCCTTTGGTTGCTCTCTTGCTCGTCTCTCTCTGTGCTCTCACCAGTAAGTGCCACACTCTCCCGTTTTGTCTTTGCTGATGATTCTGAACATAGAACACTAACTTCTTTAGTTGACAGAGGGTGAAATCTCAAGCAAGATGGGCATCAACTACGGGCGTGTAGGGAACAATTTACCGTCCCCATCCCGATCCATCGAGCACATCCAATCGATGAGAGCTGGGCGCGTGAAGCTGTACGACGTGAACCCGGAGATCCTGAAGCTGTTATCAGGAACCAAGGTTCAAGTCTCCATCATGGTCCAGAACCACGAGATCCCAGGCATTGCGTCGAGCCAGATCCTAGCCAACAGATGGGTGAGGAGCAACGTCCTCCCATACTATCCCAGCACGATGATCCGGTTCGTCCTAGTCGGCAACGAGGTCTTGAGCTACAACAGCACTGATCTAGACCGCCAATTGTGGCACGACCTCGTCCCTGCGATGCACAGGATCAAGAACTCGCTTCGGTCAAACAGCATCCGTAACATCAAAGTGGGGACCCCGCTGGCGATGGACGTGGTCGAATCCACATTCCCTCCCTCGAGTGGGAGGTTCCGCTCGGATGTTGCCGAATCTGTGATGATGCCACTGGTCCGCTTCTTGAACAGCACGAGGTCTTACTTCTTCCTCGATGTGTATCCTTACTTCCCATGGTCGCGGAACCCGGGTGACATCTCTCTGGACTTTGCGCTGTTCCGCGCAAATTTCAACTACACAGATCCTGCAACCGGGTTGACGTATACTAATCTCCTGGACCAGATGCTCGACTCTATAATATTCGCAATGGAAAGGCTCGGCTACTCGAACATCCCACTTCTAATTGCTGAGACCGGATGGCCAAACTCTGGCGACATCGACGAACCTGGAGCGAACATCTACAATGCTGCCTCGTATAACCGCAATCTGATCAAGAAGATGACGGCCGAGCCGCCAGCTGGGACTCCTGCTCGGCCTGGGGTCGTCATACCGACCTTCATCTTTGCCTTATATGATGAGAACTGTAAGGCAGGCCCCGGGACGGAGCGGCATTGGGGACTATTACATGCCGATGGCGGCAGTGTTTACGAGATCGACTTAACCGGGAAGAGACCCGCTTTGTCGTACGGGCCTCTGCCATTGCCCACCAATAACAGGCCCTACAAGGGAAAACTGTGGTGTGTGGCGAGGAGAGATGCGAACACGACTGATTTCAGCTCGGCATTGAGCTCTGCCTGCAGGAGGGGAAACGGCATGTGCGACACGCTTGCACCCGGGAGAGAGTGCCACGAGCCGGCATCGACGTTTCGGCATGCGAGCTACGCTTTCAGCGCCTACTGGGCGCAGTTCAGGAGCCGAGGCGTGACGTGCTACTTTGATGGACTGGCGGAGCAGACTGTTAGAGACCCAAGTGAGTTTCAATTTCTGAACTCTTAAGTGATTACGCAGTCTTGAATTCCAAACTGCTGGTTTCGTCTGTGTTCATGCGTTGTTGATTTTGGTTCTTTCTGAGCAGGTCGTGGATCTTGCAAATTCCCTAGCGTGACCCTTTGAAAGACTCGGCATATTTTCAAGAGAACAATATAACAGAACATCAGAGACAAGTTATTTGCAAATGCTAATGTTCTTCCATATCTCCCTCCCCTCTCAATGGGACATATATGTATCAAATTATAACAATTAACCCTAGAGGATGGATCGTTTACTTAATCATCACTTTACAAGTATTATTTTGTCCGACGTGGGATTGAAATGTATGACAAGATTAGTGAAGAATTTCATTGATCGGATTTATCTAATATGGGATTTCTCGTCATGAAGGAAAAATAAGAGGAAATTCAACTAGAAATCTTAGATCTTATCACGATAATTCACTGAATTTTAAAAATTTTCAATTATAGGTCATTTGGGTGTCAAGATTTATATAGAAAATACAATTGTGGGATTCCATTAATTCCGTATTTTCTCTGGACAAAAAGTTGTGCACATTTTATTGATTTTTCCCTTCAACATGGCGCCAAGTTAGTGCCACACTGGAAGACAAAAAACGCAATTGCAAAAATGGAAATTTTAAGAAGTTTGAAAATAAAAAGAATAAATTGAAATATTGAATATGCAGGATGGGAACAATGGAAGTCGCTCGCCTCGCTGGTGGCTGCGCAAGGGCTGGCCACCCTCGCCGAGGCGTCGGGGAGGGTAGCCATCGGCCGAAGGCGCCTTGTGCCACGGCGACCCCCAACCCTTTCATCTCTCTATTTTTCTTTTGAATTTTTTTGTCTCTTTTTCACTTAACACCACCACGTAAGTTCCATATGTTTGCAAAAGAAAGAAAAAAATCGGTAAAAAAATGCCACATAAATATTCATTCCAAAAACAATTAATGAAACTAACAGAATCGGTCATTCACATTTTTTCCGCAAGTATTCGGACTTAAATTAATGAAATGAAAATTTTAGGACTTAAACATGTTCTCTTGACAAGTTCTATAACTATTGATACAATTGTTCTAAAATGTAGTCAATGCTGATTATCGATACTAAATGATTAACGCGAGTCGAACTTTGGGAAAATTACCAATTTTTTTTTAATAAGCAATTCAATCCTAAACTTTTCAATTTGGCCAGTTTAGTCCTAAATTTTTTGATAATTTATCAATTTAGTCATTCTACCCAATTTTGGCTAGGCATTCTCATGTCGCACTCCAAGATACATGAAACAGTTCATCAAGACATGATAGGCATTCTCTCTTCACCAGCAATCCTACCGCCATAGTTTTCTACCCATAAACTGCTAACCCGTGTTTGCCTATGAGCTACCCATACACAGACTCTTTGATGGTACAATCGGTGAATCATATAATCTTATGATGCGTCAACATAAAAAATATCGTGACACGTCCTAAAATTATTTTACAACGTTGCAATGTGTCGTCCTACCCAAGCGTGAAAGGATTGCCAAAATGAGTCGGAAAGTACATAAGATGAACTTTAGAAATTTTCCCTTAGATACTCTTTTTGATTGCTGTGGGCTTTCATATATTTGTATTCTTACATGACTTATTTGCATTTATGTAAGTGATTTGTATTCTTCTAATTTTTATTCATAGTGTAGAATCAATTAACTGGTACTTGAAGTCTAGTCCTTAATGAGGGGAAAAAGCTGCTCTTTCCTTTTCATTCACGATTTCATACGATCACTCTCTCACTTCTTCGTATTGATAGAATTAAAAATCTAATTCCTCGCTCACTTGAATAGAGGGCATTGCGTTGCGTTGAGTTGAGCAATGGAAAGTAGGAGTGAGCATGATTTCAGATTTTTACCTGAAACCTAAGAACTTGACCGGTGAGAACGTGCAGGTTTCAGGTTTCAAAGTATGCATGGTAGGTTACAGGTTCCAAAAATTGGGAACTTATTTCAACGGATAGGTTCCAGATTCTAAATAGGTGGAACCTAGAACCTGAAATCTTAAAAAAGTTTTTTTATCTATGTCTTCGCGTGATCCTGTGGTGTTCGATGGCATTAAATGATGAGTGTAAATCTGAAACCATTAGTTTAAGTTTTCATTTTATGAATTGTTAATGTTTCACACTCTTCGTGTCTATAAATATAAGTTGTGGTCAGTGGATCGTAGTAGCAAGTAGTGGTCATTAAAGGTGATGATTCACTACAATTGTTCAATTAATAATATAAGTAGAACGTGGATAGACCCTAAAATCGACCATGGAACCTATCACAAGGTAGGTTCCAGGTTCCAAGGTATATATGGTAGGTTCCAGGTTCCAAAAAATGAGGAACCTGTTCCCATGGGTAGTTTCCAAGTTTCAGGTGGAACCTATACGGAACCTGAAACTGTTTATTCTAATGGAAAGAAGCAATAAAACTTGATGTTGTTTCTTTGGATATATGACTAACACCGAAACCTTGATCCATCATTTAATATCGGCTTTACACTTCATTTATTTTGTCGGGTCCCACTACAAAAAAACAAGGGATTAGCGACGATTTTTGCGACGAAAAATTTGGCAAAATCCGTCGCAAATCGAATTTGCGACGAAATTAGCGACGGAATAATTCGGCATACAAATTTTTGCGACGGAAAATTTCAATTTCCGTCGCTAAATTGCGACGGAAAAAAATTCGTCGCAAATTAGCCACGAACTTTATTCGTCGCAAATTAGCCACGAACATTATCCGTCGCAAAATTCGTCGTAAATTAGCCATGAACTTTATTCGTCGCAAAATTCATCTGAAATTTCGTCGCAAATTAGCCGCGAACTTTATCCGTCGCAAATTAGCCACGAACTTTATTCGTCACAAAATTCGTTGCAAATTAGCCAAGAACTTTATTCGTCGCAACGAATTCGTCACAAATTAGCCACAAACTTTATTCGTCGCAAAATTCGTAGCAAAATTTATTCGTCGCAAATTAGCCACGAACTTTATTCGTCGAAAAATTCGTCGCTACTTATTCGTCGCAAATTAGCCACGAAATGTATTGGTCGCAAAATTCGTCGCTAAATATTCGTCGCAAATTATACACCATTTGGGCCATCAAATCTTGTCCATAGCAATAGCTACGCATTAATAAACATCATGTAATACATTGAAAACAATCAAAGGACACGAAACAACCATAGATTCCGCTTCAGAAAAAGAAAACGAACAAACCAGACACAATGCCATATAATTGAAAAATATAACTGAAGGAAAGATTCTAGTCCGCAAAAAATAATGATATATGCAAAGTTGCAAAGTCCGACATGATGCTATTTGATATCCAATCTTATAATACATTCAAAACATTAAAAGGAGGCGGGACAACCATAGATTCTGCTTGAAAAACAAAAAATCGACAAACCAGACACAAGATTGGGCAGCTTTGGTACTCAGCAGGACACCAGAAGTAGTCACTTTTGTCGACACCTGATGAAATGTGGATACATAAATAAAGATATTCAATCAGTCCAGAATATAAAAGAAGCGTTTATGCATGGATGTGGAACTAGGTATAAAAAAACAAGTAAAAGGGTTAACAAAAAAACATTTCAGGACGAACATCAATGTTCTTACATATGAATATGAGTCAACTTTAACATCCACTGTAGTTTTTTCACCCTTGTAAACCGTATTTCTGTCACCTACAAAAAATTAGATCCTTCTCCAAACAGCATTCAACAGTTTAATGACTTAGAGAGGTGAATTACCAAGACCAATTCCCAGGAAGAGAGGACTCAAAGTCAATTAAGGCATGTATTTCTACAATGTTCAAATATCATGATTTTTTTGTAACAAGCATGTCATCCTAGGATCTCTAAATTTTCAGTTTTTCGCAAGCAAAGAACCTAGTTGTAAGAGAGTTGTGCACAGAAAGTAATTGTAGGACAGGAACATATTAGGCAAACTGCACTTATGGCACAAAAGATTGTGAAGCAAGCTTACCCCCGATTTTGGGAATTTTAACTAGAAAGGACCTAGAAAATCATCATCATTATCATCATCAGCAATCTCAGCATCATTGTGTCACTCATCATTGTGCCCATCACCTATTGGATTGGCGGGAGGTACATGAGGAACCTCATCATGATAGAGGTTAAGGTGTTGCATAACGATTTGCATTTGTTGTTTCAAGTCATTTATTTCTTCGTCCTTCTCTACAAGTATATTTTTCAGTTGGTTCAATTCTTGGGTCAATTGCTCGTCATGTCGTGTCCTCCTTCAAACAACCGCATTGGATGATGAAGTTGCAGCATGATTCGTCATGTATGCCCTTGACAAGGATCCCATCCCAAATATTTTTCCTTTTTTCATCCCACCCGTTGCCTCCACCCATTATGCCATACTGTCAACTGATGGCTCAGACGCAGCAACACCATCACCACCACTAGCATTAACAATATAGATGAAAATAAAATAACTTCATATATATAACTACCATAAATATTAAAAGCATTCACGGTTTTCATTCTAGTTTCCATAAAGTCCAAAGTATAACCTTACATACCTTAATAACTTTTGCTCGATCGCCAGTCCATGTCTTATCTTTTTTTTGAAATGTGCGTTCAAATGTAGCTGTAAATATCGGTTCCGTCCCCAATTCATGTGCCTACAAAATGTAAACATGAGTAATTGAATTAAATTAACTTATAACTTATTTAACAGACTTACCATTCGTTTGCGATGCTCCCCAATGTTGATAGAGTCCCTAGCATATGTGGCAGACCCTTAACTAGAACTAGAAGATTGATTCTTTTTATTCTGCTCACTGATTTGCTGATTCTTTTCAGTTTCCCAAATTCTGTTAATTTCGTCCAATTGTCAGCTGTAATGAAAGTCGACTTCACTTGCTTGATGTTCGCTCTATTCATCACATTTCGTATATGATCACCGACTTTCTTCTTAAAATTTCTTCTCACTTCATTCTCTTCCTCTTCATCCCACCTGAACTTCCGCTGCAATCAATACAAAAACAACTGAAAGTTATTATGATGGTCACATATCCATTATCATGCACCAGACAATTCGGCGATAGATTTTGTAAAGGTCATCTCGGGGAA